GCCACGGGGCTGACGGTGATGGCGTGTTTCAGGGCTGGGCCGGCGGCTACCCCGAGATCGTGAAGGAGAACGAGTTGTTCGAGCGGTACTACCGGGAGCTGGGCATCGTGCCCGCTGGCGAGTGGGGCGACTTCATGGCGGCGCTGAGGGAGCCGCTGCCCGCCACGCTGCGCATCACCGGCTACCGAAGGTAGGGGCCCCGGGGCGAGCGGGCCGGGCCCGGGCCCGCAAATAGCCGCCGTTTTTACGGCGGAGGCTATTTGTTACCTGGGGAAGGTGTGTCGTCATCTGAGGGTCTCTCTCCTGTGTAGCCACGCCAAAGAGATTCTTCACTGCTTGAAGGAAAAGTACTTCAGAGAGCTGCAGGACCTGGAGGTAGATGGCCAAAAAGTAGAAATGCCGCAGTCGCTGAGCTGGTAAGTGAGCTGGAAGCGAAATAAGGCACCCTGCGTATTGCTGACATCGAGCCCAGCGAGTTGGTTTCTGTCTTTCTGTTGCCACTACCCTTTTTCTGTCTCTTTTTTTTTTCCCCCCCAGGTATCCAGAAGAGTTAGCCTGGCACACTAACTTGAGTAGAAAAATCTTGCGCAAGTCTCCACAACTGGAAAAATTTCATCAGTTTTTGGTTAGCGAGACAGAATGTGTAAGTTTTGGATAGGTCTTGGGTTTTTTCCTTTCATATCCTGAGCAGTGCATTATGAGAAACTGAGACTGTACCTTTTCTCTTAGAAGTTGAGTAGCTCAGAACAATCTGGATTTTATGTTGCTGTTGACAGTGATTCATCCCGTGACTCTGGCACCTAACTGCAGTTGTAAATGTTTCTCCTAAACTAAATAGCAATTTTATTTTTTTTTTTGCGAATGTAAAAATAAGTCCCTGTAAAATAATTACTGTTGTAAAACAGATGTTTAAATCTGGTAAAAATTGTGTGTGCACATAGCAAGACTTACCTTTAGTGATGGATGTTTCTCATTTGGTTGTCAGTTTCTCATCTCTTTTGAGCAGAAACTGCATCTGTAGAATTAACAACATTGAAGTAAATACGCAATTATCAAAAATTTCAATTGGATGAAATACTGAGGGTTTTTTTTAAATTTGTTAAATGCTAACAAAACTTAATCCTAAATTTATAACAGTGTGGTTTTGGTTGCTTTATCATTTTACTACATAGACATTTTAAAAACATACTGCAAAACAAATGCATTCTTTTGTGGAATAACAAGGAGATTGGTTTTGTTGAATTTTATTTTTTTTTTTTTTCCTTTCAAGGGAAATATTAGTCGTCAGGAGGCTGTTAGTATGATCCCACCTCTGCTGCTTAATGTTAACCCTCATCATAAGGTAACTAGAATATACTGCGTACTAGAATTTTTTCCTGGAAGATAGTTTGATAAAGATGCAAATTACAGTGGCGGTGTCAATGCTGATACACTGGTATCTGCACTGAATTTTGGTTTGTGTTCATATGTTTTATGCTTTCCGCACGCAAACAACTGTGTTTGGATCACAAATACATCGTCAGAAAAACATCCGCTTTTTCAGCTATATGTAATAACCTTAAAAAACAGGTTTTAAGTAGTTGCATTATCTTAACTTTCGAAGTGTAAAGGTATTTAGCTGTATCTAAGCTATGTATTAATATTTTAAAGATGAAATATTTTTAAGATAGATGACTGTTTTTAACTTCCTCTATCCATCACACCGTGAACAGAGGTAGTTTTCCAAATCCAAATTATAATGTTCTCTACCAGGTAGTTTTCACGACTCTATGCATTTTGAAGAAGTTGCAAACTTCTGCTCTATAAATCTGTTAGGTGAAATAATTTGGGCAAGCTGAAACATGCTGCTGATGGTGGCTAGAGTATAGGTTGCTAACTTCAGCTGAGGTGTCTAAGGAATGCCTCTGATATTTTCTAATGGCAGATTGTAGGAGTGAAGATATCTGGTAGCAGACTTCCTTTTCAGACCTTAGTGATGTTTTCATTCTCTGTGCTTGTTGGCAGAATGAATCTGTCAGGTTGCATTATTCTCTTAACCTGTTAAGTTAATGAGCTAGTTAGAAGTGCCTTGCTATCTCAAGCGCCATGTTGTGCACTTTCTTAAAATTTTCATGCTGTATCTTAAAATTTTAAGTTGTTCAGATTTCTAACTTACATGTTTTAAAGACTTGTTTGTACATACCTATTTTTATATTCACATTACTTATCATACATAACTTTTTAGTTTGTCATCTGTTCTCACCGCAACCCAGTGGGGTGATGGCTATTATATGTGAGACAGGGTCTTCTCATCTCTTAAATGAATAATGAATTGAGTGATAGATTCAGTCCTAATGTGTCACATGTGCATTCTGAGTTTTGTCTGGAGTTAAACAGCTAGTGAATTTGTTCGACTTAACGTAAAACACAAATTCTGAGAATATTTTTGCACACACCTTACATTGGATATGATAAGCTAGCAGTATACGTTTTTTGTGTTGAATGTTTAACTTTAGTGACTGTATTTCAGTGAGAACCTTTCAGAAAAGCATGTGAGAGTTCACAAATTCACTTGTAAGTCAGACTCAGAATAGGTTCTTTATTCTCTCTTGTGACAAGACAGCAAATAGTTGCTGTATTGATGCCTTGGCTGTTGTCATTGGGGACCTTTTATGGTCCTTAGTACCCTGTTCTTAGTACTCTCTAGGTTGCTTTTCATGCTTACCCAGAATGTTCTTACTTCACTTCTTACACACTGATTCCTGTCTTACACAAGGATCAGCTTGATGACTCTCAAGCTCCTCTGTACTTGTGTTCATTTTTAGTCTATTTTTTACAATTTCATTTTCCCTCAACCATCACTTTGCTGGACAATTCTAGAGCATGTTTAGGCTTGCTTATTCTTCATTGTCTTTTGCATTAACTACAAAAGTAAGTAGAAAGCAGCAGTGTCACAACTATTACTTTAAACAGCACATATGACACGGTCTCTCTGAGTGTGTTTTACTGCTGTGTGGCAGAGCTTATCACACTCTCTCTGGGGCTCTCAGGAAATGCTTTTTGCATTTCTCTGGGGTCTGCCTTCTGGTTTATTCTTGTTCGTGCCAGGAGTTTACATGAGGATCTGAGCAGATCTGTCGCCATCTTCCATCCTGTTGCATGATGTCAGCTCACTTTTACTGGAGCTAAAAGCCCAGAAGGTAGTAGTATGTTTCTGAAAATCTGTAACTAGGCAAGAGGGAAAGACTAGCTGTCAAATAGTTTGCTGTGAAAGCGACTCTACAGATGACTTGATCACAGGTCACCTTTGTGATGAACCCAGAGAAATATGCTAGAAATCAGGTGTTGGTGTCAGAGCTGTTCTGTTCTGCTGCCTGAGGGCAGTTCAGATACTTCCCAAGTGCTTCTTCCAGGGTATAGAAACAAGCAGTTTATGCTGCCCTGATCTTTTTGCTTTAAAATGCAAATGTGTAGGGAGGGAGAGCAGTTGATTTTTATAAAATCAACTGCATCGGATAATCTCTGGTAACTTACTGGTAGTCAAAAAGGGCCACCTCTCTGTATCTGTATTCAGATTTCTCATTCAATTTTTTTTTTTCAACTCATGTATTTGTTCCCTGCAAACCAAAGTCTTTTTTATATATTAGACCCTGAGAGATAAAGCATACAAAGAACAAAACTGTACTTCGTGTTTTTGCAAGCCAATGTTGAGAACAATCATAATTCTGCGAGTGTGTGCCCAAATATTTAATTTAAACAAGAACACATGGTAGATTTCTTAAGCACTTAAATAATACAAGGTAGGGCTTTTTTTTAACTCTGATGTTTGTAGATTCTAGATATGTGTGCTGCACCTGGATCTAAGACTGCACAACTCATTGAAATGTTGCACGCGGACATGAATGTTCCTTTTCCCAGTAAGTCTTAAAAAACTGCAAAATACTTCTGTGACTTTGTTCCATTTTTTCTTGTAGAAGATTATTTTTAATATCAGAGATAAGTAAACTGCATTTAACTAAATCTTTAATTTCCAAAGTGGTTGAGTGATACGAGATGGGAAGTACTGCACCTTTTCCTTGAAACTGGGCTTCCTTGCCTTGAAGGAGAGAGCTGGATTATATATATGTATGTCCTCACAGTTCAGACTACAGTAGATGTGATTAGAGCTTAATTTTTGTAGGTAAATCAGGAACACTGGATTAGGCTGCTTTAGACTTAAAATGGTCATGATAGTATGATAGTTTTGGGTTTGTTTTGGGTTTTTTTTTAAGATTAAGAATCTTTTGATGCTCACAGAAAATAGAATTTGTGAAGTTGGGGCAAGTAGATTCTTCCTGTGTTCTACTGGAACTCTGCTGATGTACAGAGATTGCTTTTGGTAGCAGTGGAGGTTTTCTCTGTTGCAAAGGCTTTACTTTGAGAGTGAAAAGTTGAAGGGCCATTGGTTGTGTCTTACTGCAACTGCATGGAAGCTAGAGCTCTTGAGACTATATTTGACACATCAGTTAAACCTCAACATGCTTGATGTTATGTTCAGTAAGGGGTCCTCTATTCACAAGCTGTCCTTTAAGTAAAAATCTCTAGTAAAAAGTTTACACAACTTTGAAGATAAAACAATAAACTATGTAAAATTACTTAGCTGTTGAATAGTAAAGCATCTTCCCACTATCTTATGTTCCCAGAGGGTTTTGTTATTGCTAATGATGTTGACAACAAGCGCTGCTATTTGCTGGTTCATCAGGCTAAGAGATTAAACAGTCCATGCATCATGGTGGTAAATCATGATGCCTCCAGCATTCCTAACCTACAAATAGATGTTGATGGAAGAAAAGAGGTCCTCTTCTATGACAGGATTTTATGTGACGTCCCCTGCAGGTAACTTGCAGATGATTTTCAATACAGAGATTTAACTGCACCAAGTGCTGTGCTAGAATTTTTGCGTTACTGAGTTACGCTTTTTGAGTTATGATTTATAGTAACTTCCAAAACAGGTGAATGCCTGAAATTGTCTTAGGTAAGGGGATACTAAGTCAAGGTGAAATTTTTTTGTTCCATGGGTACTTAAGATTGGGTCAGCTGAAGAGCTTCCAATTTTGAACTCGCACTTGGGATACTGAAATGCAAAGATAATGTATCGTAGAAACACACAGTACAGCGTTGGAGAACTAGTTAACGTGGGAGAGGGACTATTACTTTTTTACTGCTATAAATTACTTGGATGTGAAATCACTTTTACCCATAAATAACACAAATCTATACAACCTCTGTTGTAGTGGAGATGGAACCATGAGGAAAAACATCGATGTATGGAAGAAATGGACAACACAAAACAGTTTGCAGCTCCATGGGTAAAAATGCTTATTGCAAATCTGCACTTCTTTCATTTATGTCTTCTCCTTTTCCCATAGCTTTAACATCTGCATGCATTCACATGTTTATATATGACAAAGCAGAGACTAAGAAGAACCACTTTTCTCTCAAATCAAGACCGTGTGTGCTATCCAGAGAGAGTGTAGTGTTTCAGATGCGAGGAGTGTGTGAATTTAAATTGCTTGTGTTCTTATGAATATCTGACATATTAATGTTCACTGAATTAATTTAGACAAGATGGCTAATAAAACAAGGAACAAATAATTTATTTGGGATTCTTAGCATTTAGGTAGGTAAAATACTGTTGGAAAACTCAGAAACCTGTAAAATTTAATAGTAATGTTTTAAAGTCTTTAAAAATATTTGAGATCATACATAAACGTTTTCAGCTACCTGAGATTGATTTATATTAACTGATGGCAAATGAGCACTTAGCTTAGTGCAGGCACATGCTAAAAAACAGCAATTTAAACACAGATGAAAAACTTACAACATTTTACTGTGCATTTGTAACAATCTGAGGATGCCATCGGTTACCATGACTCAGCTGACCTACGGTGACTTGTTACTGCTTGGTAACTCACTCATAATTACAGATTTTATTTTAGTTGTAAGTGTGCAGGTAGGGTCTAAGCTGGTGATCTGGTTCAGTGATACTTTTCTCATCAGGCCAATGTTAGCTAATCTGTGTCGTCCATAATATTTGTAATAGATTGTGCTTTGTTTTAACTCTAGATTTCTGAGAAGAGTAGTCAGTTTTGGGCTGTTGTTTTTCTAGTGTTAAGTACTTTATTTTACACTTGATGGGGCACTAGAAAGAACAAAGTACAGAATGTTACATTAAAAGTTATTGTGCAGTAGTGTTAATGTTTGACTTAATTGCTGTTTTAATAGGTTTAATTTAAGTGTGTCTGCAGTATAGACTGCATGAAGCTGACTTGGTTTAAAACTACTTTTAATTTGTGTACTGGTGACAGCTGTGGAACTCAGTAAGTTCTGGCTTAGTCCATGGAGAGTTATGTGTCTGCAATATAGCTTCAACTTTAAGAAATTTCATGGCAAATCTTTCTGGTTTCTGAATGATACCCAACTAGACCAAGACTGTTCTGTTAGATTGCAGTTAAGAATTGCAACCCGTGGTGTTGAACAGCTGGCAGAAGGTGGGAGGATGGTATATTCTACATGTTCGTTGAATCCTATTGAAAATGAAGCTGTGATTGCATCTCTGCTGGAAAAGAGTCAAGGTGAGAATGCGAGCTTGGACAGAGTGAGAATGCCTTTTTTTCTCAGCACAAAAAAAGTGTATGTCTATGATAGTACTAGTAATAAGCTTAGTAAATGTATGTGCTCCTAGCATACAAAACTGCAGCAATTTTCTGGTACGGGTAGGATTTCAATGGTGTTGATAATGAGCAGTCTTCTAAATGGGCCTAAATCAGGTGCAAATACAAAACCTGAAGGAGTTGTGTTAATGATGCACAAAAGACTTCTACAGATCAGTGGAATTCAGTCTGTGTTACCTGGCTTCTGCTAACGGATTCCACTGCTTGAAATCCATGTTTGACATTCATATTTCCTTTGGAAAATGTGGTGTGGGACATTACTGCTGTATGCTATAGGAGTAAAAACCCCAGAGTGTACTTCAGCAATTAGAGGAATGTTATTGTTCACCAGTAGGTGGGAGTCACTGATACCTGTAGTATCCTTCAACCCACATTTTAATTTGCTTGGAATTTTAATGTCTTTAAGCTCATGGGGTTTTTTTGACTTGTGTAGGAAGGCTTGCTTAAGTTGCTGTTAAGCCTCCATCATCTGAAGTAACAAGTGGTGGAAATCTTGAGATGAGCTGAGAAGCTGCACTGTATCAGTTTGTTATAGTAGGGTTTAGTAGCCCAAATTTCTGGTGTTGAACTCATGGACACTGTTTTTTCTGAGTCAGTAACCTGTACTTTGGAGACATCTAATTCGATTTTGCATGAAAAGTTCCACATACTTTGTTAAGTTGAGCTTTGTACAGAGCAGAAGCAGTTGTACTGCTTCTGGAGCTGAACTGGTTCTGGAAGTAGAATAGCCTGTTTTGTGTAACGTTTTTCTTTGTGCTAGTCACTATTCTGGCCCCAAATTACACACAAAATGCCATTGTCTCAGGAACAGAAGTTTAGCTAAAATGCTTGCAGATAATTAGGAACTGCCTGTTTAGTTTCCACTCAAAGGACATTTTTATTTAGAGGTGGTTTCTTTGGCAGACTGAGTGAAAGAACAACATAGGTATGTTAACAGCAAATTATATTATGCTTGCCTTATTGAAGGCCAGAGTTAAGTTTAACAATGACAAGATTGGAAGGCAGTAAGGACTAGTTTGGATGGGAGCATGAAGCAGTATGGATGTTAACAGAGGCCAGCATTTGCAGCATCTGGGGAAAATTCAGTACTTGGAAGTAAGGATCTTGACTGACTGTGGTGTTCGAATCTTCTCTCTGCCCAGTGGAGATACTTTGAGGCTTACTTGGAGGGTGTGATGTGTCCCAGTGAGCAGATGTTACCCTTGGGGCTTGAACATAGGTGTAGCTAAAGAAGGGTGAGGTGGTGTAGTGGTCTGCGAGGGACATTGGACCTCAGGGATTTGTTCAGGTCAGTCTAGAAGGTTTGTTGGTTCTTCACTGTTAACTTAGTTCCTGGCATTATGTTACACTGCTACTTGTGGAGCACATGAGAAATTGCTTTCCCCTTAGGGCTGAAGGAGTAAGGGAAAGGCACTTTTGTACCATGTTTCTCTGCTGGGAATTGTAACACTTCTGACAGACTATTTAGTGCCTGATCAGTCTGGTGTAGTATTGAGGCATTAGTTGAAGTCATGCTTTAGGTAGGCAGGAATATTCAAAATGTCAAGTTTAATCAGATTTGAAATGTCATTTTGGAATTTGTCTCTGAATTCATGTGTCACTTTTTTCATTTATTTAAAAGACTTGCTTAAACAGTCACTGTAAAAGTAAATGTTTAGTCATGTAGAACAGGTTGACCAATTGTGCACAACATGAGGAAGAGCCTACCAAACTATTAACTTAAGTATTCAGAATCACAAAAAAAAATTTTAAGGTTATTCTTAGAGAGATCACCTATTTAAACGTAAGTTTTTATATCATTCGTTCTGGATTTGGGGCAGCTTAAAGTTTGTATTCAGTAGATTAAAATATGCTATAGATGTTCAGTATTCTGTCATATTTTAGGCATAGCCTTTTGTCCTGTTAGGTTGATAGTACTTACCTTACTGTTAAACAGTTTAGAATTTTCCTTTCAATTTAAGAACCAGTAAATTGTTTTTCCTCTCCCACTGGAATATATTAAAATTGTAAGTCCACAAAATGACAATATATCAAGCGTTTTAAAAGGCTTAGACATCCCAAAAGAGTATTTCTCTGGAAAATATTTGATCGGCTAAGTAATTCCAAATACTAAGTAAGTGAGAATAAAAACTTCTATGACTGCATTGGCTGGAACACTGGTGTTTAATGATACAGATTGTAGAGTATTCCTTTTTGTAGCTGCTACAAAAAGTATCTAACCATTATATTTTGGTTAATTTATAGATTGCACACTTCAGTAGCTATTACCAACAGTCCTTACCATCTTTCTTGTTAATTTACATGCTAGTAATTTTGTAACATTCTGTTCCTTGAAAGTTTTAAAAGCAGTGGTCTTAAAACTTGAAGGAAAACTATTTTTATAAAAGTTAATTAGGAATACAACTCTCAGATTCTGTTTTCAAGACTCTTTATATTCTTGGGATTTCAGGTGCCTTAGAACTTGCTGATGTGTCTTCTGAGTTACCAGGTTTGAAGAGGATGCCAGGAATTACAAAATGGAAGGTACTTAACCTGATATTTCTGTGAAGTTCTTGGTCTGCAGTAGAGTGTTAAATTAGGGAAATTTTCAAGTGTAACATTTCAAAACGTTAGACTGAGCTGAAGTAATGGTAGGGATTTCCTCTTGCGAGTTTTAGAAAATATAGCATTGTAGGGGAGAGGGCTAAAAAAATATTTCTAATAGTAAATTCTTGTCTCCTCATCTGCTCTCCTCTTTTTCCTGTAGTTTTCTTTGCTCTGTTTCCTATACTTTGTTAATATAATTCCCTTTCTGTTGTGTCCGTGTGGCCTGTAGATGGCAACATAATTTCAGCCAGTTTTTGAGCTATTTCTCCTCCTCTGTCTTTACAGTCTGTGTTAGATTCTACAGTTCTTTAGCTGGTCTATTTGAGTCATTTGGAAGTAAAACCTCCTTATGAAAATAGGTTATAAAGGCTGCAGTGATGTGAGTAATCCTAAAATATTAGTAGAATCCTGTATTTTTGTTCCTTATGTGATTTCATTTCAGGAAACAGACTAGTAAGGAGGACAAAACCCTCCCAAAGCTTCTTCAGCTTCCTGTTAAGAGTATAATTAAGAAAAGTAGAAGGCCATCCTAATAGTAGAGAAAGAAGTTCTGATTAAATTTCAGTTACGAGTGTGTGCCTTTTTAACATCATTGGTTGTTCTGTCTTCTCTCACCATTTCACTAGGCTCTTGTAATGGCAGTCTACAGGTCTATGATCTTAATTTTATGGGTTTTTTTCTACTGTGTAAAGCTACCAAGTATATACAGATATATAAAGATAACTAAGAGTATATTGTATTCCCTATAACATTTATTTCTGTGTTTGCAGTTGAAACATAAATCTTACTAATGGGTATTTTAAAAAGAAGGCTAATAAAATCTGTTGAAAGTTTGCAAGAGTTTCTTCAGCCCTTAGTTGATGCTACTGTATATTTTTCAAGCCTCATTGGCTAGCTTGTCATTAAATGTATTTGTTTGCTTTGGTGCTGTTTTTACTTGGTGTAATCTTTTGTTTGCTGGTGAAACGTCTGTTCAGTGGGAACTGTGCAACTTAGTGATTACATTGAATATTCCTGAGCATCAGTAAATCTCTGGGAACAGCAAATAAAAATAAAGTTTTGTTCAAGGGACGCTAAGGTGTTAGAAATAGCATTCAGTACTCTCTCCTTAAACCAGACAGTGTGTGAAATTGGGTGAATTATTTCAGAGCCTTGAAGGAAGAGACCTTTCTAACTCCAGATCTGGTAATCTACTGCAACATTTCTAGTCTTCATTCTACTGTAACAAGAGGCTAGTGAAATGTGCAGTAGAGAAAAGTTCAGCATGTTCTTTGATGCTTTGTCATTCTACAAGATACACTGTGTGTTTAGGCTGGTAAACCAAAACTGAACATTCTGACATTTCTAGTGAAGTTGTAATCTAGATAAATCTTACATTTCGGTTTCCAGTAGAACCCTTAAACTTCCAAGTCAGTCACAGTGAGATGTATGAAAACACTTCATCATACTTGCCATTCCCGAGGTTACCATTGCTGTGACTTCTCTATTTTGTTGCTTTAACAGCAAAAATGGGCCTTCAATTCAGCCATTAATTTTATGCATTTGCCCCATACATCCTCAGATGTGTTTTCTTACTGCCCTAGCATCTAGTACAGAACCAAATGTCTAGAGCTCTGAAGCTTTCCCTGTTTGGGTTGTTTTGTGTTTTTTTTCCCACTTTGGTATTCTTGCTTAAAGAGCATTCAGAATGCCTTGCTACAAGAGTTGTGGCTCTAACTTTCTGCTTGTATTTTAAGAGTCCATCAAAAGCTTTGACCCTTTGACAGAATGAGGAGATATTATGTCCACACAGTATCTTGGAGTGGATTTATAGATGTGTTCTCAGTCCTGGATAAAGACAGACACTGGAAAATCCATGAGGACATTGTTCAGTAACTTTCCTTGAAAACATCTCTATGACCTATGTACACCTGTGTCATGGGGCTCTACACTTATCAAGCTGTTGTGTTGCACTCTTGTGTCTTATGTAGTGAAATTGGGATTCCTCGTTTCTGATCTCTATTAGACTGCAGTATCCCTTTTCCTGTACATACTGCTTGGGAGCTGCCTATAGCAGAGTGTTTCACAGCCAGTCTCATGGAGAAAAAGAAGTAGTGTATCCTAAATCTGATGGCTACTAATTCTTACATATTCCACCATTGTCCTTCCTTTGGATTTTGGTGATCTGTATGTTCTATCAGGTTACCAAAAATCACTGCACTTGATTCTGCAGTAGTCTTTACTTGACTGCACACTTTTTGAAGCATACAAAATGGAGCAAAGAGGTAAAGCTGGCAAGAATCTCCTGCACATAAGTGCACATGGAATGCACAAAGGAACAATACACTTTAAAAAACTTAATTACTGTACCAGAAAATAACCTCTTTTTTGCCTCTGAACCTTGGTTTGAAAGTATATTAATTAAAACTTGTAAGATCGTGGCCTGTATTCTTCACAGTATTTATATTTACTCCTTTGAAGGTAATGCTGAAAGATGGACAGTGGTTTGAAGACTGGAAAGATGTGCCTTCAAATAGACAAGCGCAAATACGTCCCACTATGTTTCCAGTAAAAGATGAAGAGAAGCTACAGGCAATGAATCTAGAGCGTTGGTAAATTTTCCCAAAGTAGACTTTATGAGGTGTTAATTGTTACCTTGTATGATGGTAGGCAAATTATAATTAGGTCAGATTAGGAATGTGTTGCAGTATGGACCTGTGGTTGTATAGGTCTGAGGATACTTTGATTGCTTCATATGTAATAGCAGTACACAATATTTAAATTCCAGTGAACTGAGAGAAATTATTGGAAGATGCTTACAAGGAATAAGTACTCACACAAAGTGGTCAGATTCTTTGCATCCAATAGAGATGCATAGCCAAAATTACTGGAAAAGTATGTAAAACTTCAACATTTTAACAGTGTAACTTACTTGTTATAAAAGACTCTCCATAGCTATTCTAAAAATAGAGTTTAGAAATGAGTCATTAAAGCTCAGATTTGAATGGTGAAGTGAACGCGTTGCACTGATGCAAGTTACTTTGCCAGAATGCTCTATTTTAGATCCTGTTTCTAGCTTGATAAATTAAATCTGCACAATCCTACTAGGAATACTTAGTTTACACTGAAAGCAAATATAAATGTGACACTTCTCTTACTTTGTGAGAGCCTGAATGTTGAAGATGAATACTCTGCAACATTTTTCCCCCCCCTGCTTTCTAGTCTTAGGATATTGCCACATCACCAGAACACAGGAGGCTTCTTTGTGGCTGTGTTAATAAAAAAATCTCCAATGCCATGGAATAAACGCCAGCCTAAGGTAACATCTTATTAAAAGTTAACATTTTAGTTCTTTTAAAAGATCTCTGGAATTTTTTTTAAAGTTTACATAATAAAAAGCATACTAGAACTGGTTTGCCCCTCAGTTATAGTTTGGTGTGTCAGTTAAAAATTAATTCCTAAACTCCTTAAGAAATTTAAAAAAAAAATCCTTTTAAAATGGAAGGAAAAAGGGAGGTGAGGATTTTGAAATCATAGTAAGCAAGTTAAAACTTGAACCTAAAATTAAGGCTTTGAAAGAATTACAGAATTGGATTAGATTGGGTAGCTAAACCTGTCATTTCCTTCAGCTGTGAATGGTCCTTCTGCTGAAGGCTTTGCTGTGGTATGTAAGCTAATTCTGATTTCAGTTCATCTTACTCTGTGGCTGGTTGCTCAGGAGTGATTCACTAGCAGATTAGTCCAGCAGATCAGCAGCAGGGGCAATGGATGTAAAACTGTTAGGAGCACCATCAGCTTCAGCTGTGTGACTTTAATCCATTTGTTATAATCCTGTCAACAGGATTTTAAATTGATTTATTTGATCTGTTAGATTGTTCATATCTTTGAGAGAAATGTCTGTGAATCCCTTTTAGCTGTTTTCATTTATTTGATTTACTTCATTAGAACACATTATGAGTAAAACGTATCTTGGCAGTAAGGAGAAAGCATTTATTCACAAGCAAGCACCATCCGAATAGTTTATGGTGTTCTAAGTTTTATGTTGTAGCACTCTTACAGAAAGCGTGCAGCAGCAGGATGTGTGTGTCACTTCGAGTGCTAGGAGGAAAGCAGCAGATCCTGACTTAAAATAATCTGTGAGTGCTTGAATACGATTTTGTAAATGGTACAAAACAGCTTTCTTGGATATTTGCTAAGAAATTGTCCAGATCAGTACTAGAGGTAAATGCAGTTTATAATGGTATCTTGATTTAGTAATTAGATTAACTCCCTAAATGGATCTGTTTAAGCATTTGCATACAAATTAATGCGAATTAAGCACATGCAGAGAGAAAACATAGGTACTTTTTGTTACAACTTAGATACTACTTTTGCTTTGTTGAAAATACTACAATTTGAAATAGGTTCATCAGAAATCACCACAAAGAACAGGAGATACTGAAGTGACAGCAGCTAATTCAGATAATGGTTCTGAATGTGTTACTGAAGAACCAACACTTGCTGAAAATGAAGAGTCTAAGAAAATGCAAGAATTGCAGAATTCAGACACTGAGCAAAGCAAGAAGGAAGGAGTATGTGGGTAAGAGACCATATCTAAATGTTTATCCTATGATAGTTTTATAATTGCTGAGTATTTTATAGTTCTTCTGTTATTGGACTCATTTAGAAGTCAAACAAGAAGAATTAATGAATTTGCTCAGTTGTCCTACATTTCCACATTATCTGTCTTGTATTTCAGCAAGTTAGGAAAATAACCACTTTTCTTATTAGCATTGGTAAGTCTGTTAAGGAAAAACTCATTTCTTGTCTGTTAAGGAAAAAAACTACTTTGAGAAGTTAACCTTTGGAAGATCTTTACTGTCTTCACAATTACTCCCTCAGAAATCTCTGTTTACTTGTTTTCATGGTTTCTGTTTTCAAGCACTGCTTTCACTTCCTCATTCTAGGAAGTTAAATTGTGGGTAGTGTTGTCTTAGTGAAGCACAGGAAAATGTCAGTATTCTGTTTGGCGTACTATCATTACCATAAGGCAAGCGTTGACTAAATGAACTGAATGTACTGATTTTAAACCAAGTACTTTTACTAAAACTGACAATGCAATGGTATTTTCTGTTTAGACCACCACCATCTAAAAAAATGAAGTTGTTCGGTTTTAAAGAAGACCCTTTTGTATTTCTCCCTGAAGATGATCCATTGTTCCTTCCTATCCAGTAAGAAAAAAATGTTTCTGTTTTGGCCATAAGATTCATAGGGGTTTAGGAATATTAATAATTCAGTTCATCACAAAAGATGGGTCTATTTAGTCATATGTAAAATGTTTTCCCTAACTTTGCATCAGGTGCCCCTCTCATAAACACTTAAACTCTCCTTCAATGAAAATAGCCAACTATAGTTTGCACTGGAAATTTTTGAGTGTATCTTAGTGTCTGTGACAGCTTGTCTTTTCTGCTGTCATGTATTTTAGTCTGGTCTGTGTGTTTTGGAGCCAAAGTGTTAAGTGCTGCAGAGATAACTCAAGGAAACGGGCTGATCCATGCATTTTAAGTGTTTAATTTCATTGTTCAGTTAATCAAAACAAGTATTATTGCCACAGGAAGTTCTATGCATTGGACCCATCATTTCCCAAGATGAATTTACTAACTCGAACTCAAGAAGGAAAAAAGAGACAGCTGTACATGGTTTCTAAGGAGCTAAGGAATGTGCTTCTGAACAACAGTGAGAAGATGAAGGTATGGCTCATCTCTTCAGGTTTTCAAAGCAGAGGTCAGAAGCATCAGTGGATGTCTTCTTGAACTTTGACAAGCTTATTGTTTATATAGAGGGTTAGCCCTCTGATAGGCCTTTTTTTTTTAGTCTGAATGAATGTTATCACAGAATCATTCAGGTTGGAAAAGACCCTTGGGATCATCGAGTCCAACCATCAGCCCTAGTCTACAAAGTTCTCCCCTGCACCATATCCCCCAACATCTCATCCAAACGACTCTTAAACACATCCATGGATGGTGACTCCACCACCTCCCTGGACAGCCTATTCCACTGACCACTCTTTCTGTGAAAAATTTTTTCCTAATGTGCAGTCTGAACCTCCCCTGTTGCAGTTCCTTTCTATCCCTTCTCTGTTAAAGGCATGAGGAGTTGTCTCTGAGAGGTAAGTAACAGTCCCCAAAATTAAAATCTGTACGGTTTTTGGCAGATGGAAGGGAATTTGAAAGTAGAGGAAGGGACTCTCTGTGTACCAGCATTTTTATGTGGTCTTCAGGTACCTTCACAAGTTTACATTGACACTGTTGTATTTATGAGCCCCTTAATTATAAAAGTATTATTAACAGCTTCAAAAGCCTGCCAAAAATAACAGATAACTTCAGCTGAATTATTCATCTGGCTGTGCTATTATATTGACTCAAAGTAATTTCAACTGAACATTTTGAAAAAATTTATTAAATTTTGTTAAATTGAATGATAATGGGATAAAAAGTAGTTTTTGTGAATTACACAGAAATTATTTATTTTTGTTTGTATGACTCCCTATGGAAAACGCCTTGTAAATGCTAAAGATTTATCTTAAAATTCATTGAATGATTTTAAGTTCAAATGATGTCATCTAGTCCAGCTGCCTTCCTGCCCCAAGCAGAGCTAACTTCAAAGCTAGATCAGATACAGTTTGGGGCCTTGCCCAGTCAAATCTTGAAAATTTCCAAGGATATTCATTATATCTTTGCAATAGATCATTGAGATGAATAAATAAATATCCTTTTATCCCACATCCAGGAAATGGCTACGTAATTGACAAAATTTTAAGAAACTGATGTGTTATATTAGGCAAGGAGACTTCAGGTACCACAAAGGATATAGTGTCCAGAGTCCTAATACTAAGCACGTGTGCATTTTTAAAATCCCATTCTTGATTGACTTTCGCAGAATCACCTTGAAAATTCTTACTCAAACTAAAATTAAAATTATAAGACTGCCACTTCCTTCACAGTGTTCTGTTTTCAACAGATTAAAAGGTGTCTATGTTGAGAGAGAACTATGTTTTGATAGTGGGAATTCCTTTTTTCCCTTGAATGAATTTTCACACAAGTTTAATTCAGTGTCCAGTGCAGAGGAACAAACATGGCACAATTATCCCTTCTTCCTCCTCTTAGTCAAACAGTTGAAGAAAACCAAAGTTGAGAGTGGTTATTTAGAATTTATACTCCTTAATGATGCTTATTGGCTTTGCTGTTTGCAGGTTATTAACACAGGGATAAAAGTCTGGTCTCGCAACAGTGATGGTGAACAGTTTGGATGTGCATTCAGATTAGCACAAGAGGTAATTACTTAGCATCATATTTTTAAAGGAGACACTGGTTTTCTCTAAAGTCAACAGAACAGCTGGCATTAACTTTGTCAGATTAATGACAATTTGCATTTTCAGTATGTTTAAAGCCTGAAAATTGTTTTCCTGGTATTAGCTAAAGGACATACTGTTTTTACCATTTTTACTTCAAAAAGTAGAGATTGCATTTTGAAATAATGATATTTATTTATTAAACAGGGCATTTATACTCTGTATCCATTCATTCATGCAAGGATTATAAATGTCTGCATAGAAGATGTTAAAATTCTGCTAACGCAGGAAAATCCATTCTTAAGTAAATTTAGCAGTGAAACACAGAAGAAAGTCAAAGACATGGGTAAGCCTTCTCATTTACGCTATGATGATTATTACACAGTATGCAGACGACTGTGACAATCGTGTCTTATGAACTGTGTTTGTTAAATTTAGTCAGAGTCTTTATCTTAAATGTACTTATTAACAGAGTAAGTAAGCATTACTGAAAAACTAGTGTGCTACTAGAAACTGTACTACTTTCTGATCACAGCCTTTAAGGTTTATGAACTCCAGAGAACAGAAGAGTTGCCAAACTTCTCATTTCTGTGAAGCAGTGCAGTGAGGCAGCATTTAAAATATATAAATACTTTGCTTTGGGAAAAACAAAACAAAACCACAAACAAACAAACAAAAACCCCCCAACCTGATATTGTCTATAGTTTACTGTACTGATGTAGATAACTTCTAACTAGCTTATGCTGTGTGGCTGTCCAAAAATTTGTTTTCTTGAACTTTTTCAAATTGCAATCATTTTAACATTGTACCAAGTAACACATCTGGTTTTTGTTTTTGTTCCTCCCACTCCCCTTCCCTGTAGCGATGGGAAGTATAGTTCTGAAGTATGACCCAGATCCTGAGTAAGTAGATATGTTGTCTTTCATTTACACAGTTTTCAAACTTAAAGAATTTATTTTCAGTTAGCAAAAACAGAAGTGGAGGCACAGAGATGCAGTGAGGTTAACAGTAAAGCCAGATAGGATACAAAGAATATAACAGGGAAAGGAGTTACCTTGCCTTTGTATTCTTAAAATAGTTGTAGGATTGAGCTTTATAAAGGAGAGCTAGTAGTTCTGCCAGAGGTCCCCAGTATCATTGCATGTGACATTTTTGTTTACTTTCCCCGTGAATCCAACGTTTGCAATAGAAATAGTTAAACTTTTCATTTTTGTTGACCAAGTAGTATTAGAAGCCCTTGAGAACTTTTGAAATGTAAACTTTCATCTCACTGTTGCTTATATTAGTTTCGAAACCAGAGCTAGAAAATTATTATGGCTGTTGCAGAAATTTCATAGCATTAAGTTTTATTTTTTTTGCTTGTGTACTTGTAGACAAACGAGTACCTGTTTAGATACTAAAGACCAAAGTACTTGCATCTCCTATGAATAGTTCTAAAATACATTCACTACTAAAGACGGTGCGCTTACTTATCATGGTATGGCTATAAAATTAAGTTTTGAAGATTAACTTTCTCACAGTTTACCGAACGTAACTGCTTGTTTGTAGAAAACCTGATGATCTTCAGTGTCCCATAGTGCTGTGTGGTTGGCAAGGAAAGACATCACTCCGTGCCTTTGTGCCCAAGAATGAGAGACTTCATTACCTGAGGATGATGGGAGTTGAAGTGTTCAAAGCAAAGAGGAAAGAGGAGGAATCGGAAAGTAAAACAGAGGAAGAAGTTCAACATAGGCTGGCACAAACAGAGGAGGGAATGGATGTGGAAGATAAAGAACATGATTTAGTCACAAAAATGGAAGCAGAAACAGGTGAAGAATCTTCCCACAGTCCTGTGGAAAGCAGTGCTATGGAAGTGGAAAATAAAATGGAGGATTTAGATCAATCTAGTGAAAACACCAACAATCATGTAAGCCAGGAAAGCAAAGACATAGATACGAGTAATGTGAAAGCTTAGGCTTCTTTCTCTATTAACTTGTCAGCTTCCACGAGACTCACATCCAGACTTTTGCTTTTAGCATGGAAGTGTATTTTTAAATTTTGGTTGGAATGGGATGTTCTTAAAGCTTCACCTATTAAAGCTTCACCTATTTTATTTTTTAAATGAAAACTATAAAGAGATTTCTCTTCAGATGTGTCTTCTTTTTACCACTTTAAGCTCTGTATTGCTGGTGGGTTTGTGTGTCTGTTGCTGGCAATGGACCATGCACCAGTAAAATCTAAAGCTCATATTTGAAATGGAATAGCGGTATGTTCAAATGAACTGACTGTGTAACTGGTCAAGAATTCCTTCAGAAGAAAAAAACTGGCATTTCATTCCAAAGCCCGTAAGTTCTAGAAAAACATTTTTTTTTCCTCTTAAGATTGCTTACCCCACCTACCACCTAATCTGATTACTACTTACACAGCTTCTTTAATGGATAAGGGAATCAGTTCAACTATCCATACAAATGCACATACAGGATATCTTAATAACAATGTGCTTAACATTTATTCAAAATAAAACCATGCACAGCATCCTGGAAAAAAAACAACAATGCAGAATGCATTTTGCCAGAGAATGATGTCTGAGATTCTTCTTCAGAGTGATGAATTGCTTGACAGGCACAGCTAGTAATTGTCATTACCTAGGTCTTCAGGTATGCTGAGCATGCCTCAAACTCCTATCTTGAAATATGCCTTTTTAAGAGTCTGTGACTGTCCCTCTAATCTACTGTGTTTATCTGTTTCTCTGACATTTCTTCAAGTGGGAGTCATCTCTAATGTCTGCAAGATACTTCTTTATAGCTGAAACAGTAGTTTAAAAAAAGTGTGGTGGTATATATATTATTGCATAGTAGATGTTTAAAAAAAATTTATTTGGGTCCAAAAGGGTAATTTACTTAATCTGTTTTTTTTAAAAAAAAATAGTTGACTACCTCAGGAACTTATAATATAAATTCCATCCTTTGTGGCTTAGTTTCAGCAATACTCTTTGTACTTGTATCAAATTAACCTGAAAGTGACCAGTGGTACAAGGTATTGTCGTCCACTGGGACCATGGTGATGCAAATACTTGTGTTGCTTGTCAAGCTAAATTTTACCATGCGTATTTTTACTGATGAAGTCCTTATGTGGCTTGGATCCATTTGCTGTACCTTGCTACAACAGATTTTCTGATGCCTGACCTTGAACTACTTCATCAGAGGGAGTATTCTTGAGGGAGAGATGTAAAAGTGAAATAGTGCCATGTCCTCTGATAAGATATTAGTCTCTGCAGTGAAGAACCATTGACAGGACTCACTTTCCTCTTGAGAGTCTGAAAAATAGGTTAATAAAAAAATCAGTTCTTGCCCTTGTATTTTGCTAAGGTTTGAGTTTCTTCTTTGAATCAGGGGCTGTGATTGGTCAGGTGCTTTTTTAGCAGCTCCTCAGGCTGAAGAGCAGCATAGCAGAATTTCCTTTTGAATGGAGGTGTATGGAAAGTATAATTTTTAACTCTTAAAGTATATGAGGAAAAAAAAAATTATATCAGCTGGTAAGTTTAAGCATGAAACTTAACACTGGTTCTTTGCATTTATTCTGACATATTGGGCATTTGAAATGAAGGGTGGAATACCAGTGTCACTTTTAAGTCCTCATCACCATCAGTCTGCAGCACTCAACCCTGAAGATGGCTGATTTTAGTCCATCTAATCTTTTATGCTCTGATGATCTCCATTAATTATCAGAAGGTAGTTAAAACTTCTGTGAAGAAACCAGAATTTGTTTCAAATTGTGGCTGCTGTTACTGTATCTACTGATATCCCTGAGCAATAGTTTAAGCTTCGTTTCAGTCATTGACTCTGCTAAGAATACAAGTTTATGACAAGTTAAGCTGATAAGAATACTTGTTGATACAGACAATCCAGACAATTAAATTGGCAAAAAGCTCACTGTACAGCAAATGAACACTCAAAATCATTTTTTTGGACTGAGTTTACCACTGACAGACTGAAATGATAGTAGAAAGCTTTTATCTGGGAGCTAAAGAAAAGTAGGTTCTTGGATCATAAACTGACTGAAATTGGGTTTAACAGACATGTAATAGAATAAGAGCCCACATCTGCATCATTTTAAATCCTTTGAGTAGCCCCATTTTCATGCATTATCTTTGAAATTTTGCTTTGCCTATGGGTTTTTGGAGGGTTTTTTTCCTATCAAGTGCAAGTGGGAGATTTCAGCCAAGAAACTGGGAGTCTGATCTTGTGCTGATCAGCATTTTTACTCTGTCAGAAAACCCACAGATAATGCAGTTTGGGGATTTATTTTTTTAAATACTGCAAGTGTCACCAGTGGCTCTGTCCCAGTTACTCTTGCCTTGATTGGCAAAAGGAAGATGCCCAAAACTCTAGGTAGTGGCTGAAAACACTGTCCTAGCTTCCCAGGCTGGGGGCCTGATGAAACAGAGTGTGTTTTGTTTGTCTGTCTCAGCTATGTGCCACTGCAGCTCTGATGGTCAGGCAGCTGAACCTCTGCTCGGGTGGTTTTGAATGTGGGTTGGTGCAAATAATTTCAAAGAAAGATGAAAGAAAAGTGATGTGCAATCGTGTTAAGTTTAAAACTGAAAGTCTTAAAAATCACTCTGTTTGAAATTCACAAAGTCCAGCCATGTAAACAGTTCCTATTAAATGTTCTGAGATGTCTCTAGTTAATGTTGCTGGTTTTTAGAAACACAGGACTGTAGATATTTGCATTGGGTGGGGGGGGTTATATGTGATAGAGGTGAAATAAGGAAAAAATTCCTGCATCTAAGTGAAAAGCCTGTTTATGCTCTGCTTAGGGATGCCCTCGGGAGAAGCTGCTGGAGCCTTCAGAAAATAATCTGTTGACTGAAAAACCTAGAAAGAAAAGGAGGGAAAACACCACATGGGATATTCCTTTGTAGCTTTTTCTTCAGTATTTACCTAATGTTAGTCATCGCTTTGGAAGTTTGCTAGAATTTTCATACTTTAGTTTGCTGCAAAATTAATATACCATAATCCAGTGCCACTGGGGTGGGGTGGGGTTTTTTTCTTTAATGTCTGAATCCTATTAAAAGTCGGTGAGACTTCTCAAAGTATACAGATCCCTTGAAAAGTTTCTGCCTGTAAACTTCAAATTTAGGCTTAGCAATAAAAGAAAGCAATTTAGCTCCTGTTACAACCCTGATCTGAGGCTGCAGTGAAGGGAAATCATTTCAAGTGGGAAAACTCCAGCCCGGAAAACAAGGGGCGGTGTGCTCGTGCCGCCTCACTGCCGGAGCTGAGCTCGGCACACGGTCTTGCCCTGCTGTCTCTCCAGGACAAGTCTTGTAAACAACCCCAGCAAAGCGACACGGATACAACAGCGGTTCTGTTATTCCCAACAAACGTCCTGATAAAGTCGGCTGGCACTCCCGTAGCACCACGTTTCTGCTTCTCTACTTTGCAGCTGACTTTCAGGAAAGTCAAGTCGGCACGCGGCGTGGGGGGACCTGCGGCCAGCACAGGGGTGCGAGGCACCTTGCCGCCCACCCCAAGCACCGACAGCAGCCCGTTGCCAAGGCACAGAGGGCAGCGTGGTGTTGTGTGTACCTCAAGGTGCAATGTTGGTCACAGGATGTCCATACCTCTCACTTTTTGGCTGGGTCTTCCACGCCTGCCACTGATCCTTGTATCAAGGTTGTATTTAGTTATTACCTAATTTGTTGCTCTGTGTTTCTTAAACAGACCTGAGTATTGTTTTTTGACTAAAATCTGTTTTCCTTATGGTCTGGCTGCTTTGTGTTAAGGTTTAAGTTTCTTACTTTTGCACTTGCTATTTCTATTCAGCTACATCTAAGCAGGCCGTTGACTACATAGGTATTTACCTATAATCCTTCCTTTGTCTTTAAATGAGTTACGGATGCCTGGCTTTGGCAGGATGGGTAACTCCAGACACTGTCGCCAAACCATCCCTTGGGAACATACCTGTACACTCCTGCCTCGCCTCTATACCTGTTTATATTTCTGATGCTTTGCATTTTCCATGCCCATTTTCCATTTGTGATCCCTTGAAATTATTAACTCCTCCCCACTTTTCTTTTTGTGTAGCTCAAAGGCTTTCAGGTCTGTTAGCAATGGACTTTTGCCTGTTACTAAAGGGAAAACCAATACAAACAGCGACCAAAACAATTCTTAGAATTTATATAAGAACAGGGCAAATGTACAGTGATCCTTGCCCAGAATATTCTCCCAGACTCCAGAGGTTTCTTGGACCAGAAATGTTGTGTTTGGGTTTAATGGTCATTTGTGTTTTTCTCCTCTGTTAATTTGCTAATTGCTCCCTGAGACCATGTGAACTTTTAGCACTTACCCTGTGGCAGGGAGCCCTGAGTTCCTACCTGTTGTTGAAGTATTACCTCCTTTTGGTTATTTTGGCTCCTAATGGCTTTGTTAGATGATCCCCACTTCTTGCACTGGAGGAGAAAATAAGCAGCCGATGGCTGACTAGTTTCTTCAAGGACACTTGTGATTTTACTGTCGTCATATCCCTTACTCCTTTTTTCCAAGCTGAAGAGTCCTAGCTTACTTGTTTGTTCCCTGTATGGAGACTATTCCAAACTTTTCATCATCTTTGTCAAATGTTTTGGTCTTTTTGCAGTTTTTATATCATTTTCCAGGTGGGGGAACCAGAACTGCACATGATGCTTAGGATGTGGCGTTTGTGCAAGTGTCTGCCCTCTGTTCTGTCCTCCAGTTGTCTGGTTGGTGTTTTTTAATGCTACTGAATACCAAGCCAATATTTCAGTGGAATTGCCTGTTATAACCTCATTATTATGTCTTGAGCAGCAATTGTGAACCTGTTGTTTTACATGTGATGTTAGCATTATTTTTCTCCTCGTAAATCATTCTATCTCTCTTGAGTTTAATTTGCTGTTTTATCACCCAGTTGCTCAGTCTTGTAAGGTCCTTCTGCAGTTTTTTGTAGCTGGACCTAAACCAATAGCTACTTGTTGAACTGTATCCTGCCCAGAGTAGTTTTCTGGAAGTCTGCAGATCCTTGGCAGCTCTGAAGGGATTCTGAGCTAGTTTCATTATGACAAGGTCATAGGAGAGGAATTTCACATCAAAATGCTGATGAGCAGGATGACCAAGCACCAAAGAGAGTTTTAAAATTTTAAAAATGTAAGTATCTGTCCACAAAATACTGTCATAGAATGCTTTTTATATGGAAAATACCAGCTTACTGGAGGGGGAAAAAAAAGTGTCCTTAGGAACACAGCAGTCAGACTCCTGGCAGGCTCCCCTGAATCTTTTCCAGGGCTCCTCAACCCAGAAATCTCTGAGAGACTCTTAAGAACCACCCCCAGAACCATCTCCTGTGGCTTCTTGGGCTTCAAATTCACCATCTTGTTGTACAACAAGGTGATATCCTGAACATTGTATTATCAGGATTTCTTGCCCTTGTAGGTCTGAATGTCTCCCTGGCCAGCTGTCAGCCTGGTACACCGTCCAGCTGTCTGCCCCTGTCTTCAGCTGACAATCTAGGGCGGTGAAGAGGGAGTTGGGGAAACAGCCTGAAATACTAAAAATGTCTGTTTCATATGTTGCAAGTGGATTTTTAAAGCTATTTTACCCAGTGAAAAACTTTGCATTTTCAACTCTTCATCCTTCATTGTCTGAATTTTTACAAATGGAAAATATCCTGGGGAATGAAATTCCAGGTCCTGCACACTAGGAGACAGCATTGTGAACCTAACGCTGTTATAACACAGTAGCATCTCCCAATAAGAAATAGAAATGTAATGACAACCAATGTATCAGCATTTGATTAGTTTCTTCACCCAAAGAAGAAGGCAGAAGGGGGAGAAGGGAGGACAGAACAGAAATGGCTCATTAACACCCATGGTGCTAGATGCATATATATATATATAT